GATAATAATATCATGGTGAATATGTTACTGTTAATCGATAGTTGTTTTATGTTGCTTGAAAGATACTTTTATTGTTGTTTTGTTGGTGAATATTACTGTTAATTGCTAGTTTTTTTATGTTGCTTGAAAGTTATTTTTATGTTGTTTTATTTGTTGTCTATCATGTTTGTTTGTTTGTTTTTATAATATATATTATTTATTTATTTAGTTACAATAAAAAATCTTGTGTTGCTTTTTACTTAATTTCATTGANTTTTTTTTGGCTTGGCTGGTTTTTTAGGCATTCATGTATGAATTTGTAGAAGAAGAAAGAATAAGAAAGAAAATGGAACAAGAAGAAGAAAAGGGAAGAAGAAGAAGAGAAGAAGAAGAAGAAAAATGAAGAAGAGAAAAAACGTGGAAAGGATAAGGAAGAAGAAGAAGAAAAAGAAAAATTCATGGAAAGGATAGGGAGGAGGAAGAAGAAGGACGTGAGAAGATTGAGGAGGAAGAAAGAGAAAAAAAAATGAGAGATGAATAGAGCAGTTACAAGAGATATGATTGTAATCTGTTTTTTATTTTATTAATCTCGTTTGGTATGAATTGGAGTAGTTTTGGAATTGTGGAGAGTGAGCACTTTTATGGAATGTACTTTTAATAGAGGGTTAGTTATGTATTTTTCCCTAGGAACAATTCACAAGCACTAACAAGGCCCAACCAAATCCTATTTTTATCTGCTCATCATCCGCTCGTCAGTCGTCATCATCTCTTCTCATCTGTCGACTGCCATCTCCCATCTCCCGATCCCAAACAAAAGGATTTCTTAAATCCAAGTCCTAAATGAAAAATCAAAAACAAGAAATAACATTATCTGCGCCCACTCAATCGCGCACTCCAAGTCTCCGATTATCGCGCTTGTCGCTCGGTGCTCTGAAACCCCAGATAGCCGCCGCGCTCCCGGCTCCCGAACCTCCACTCGGATTCAACCAATTTGGTGAATTTCGATATCAAGCTCTCAGGCCGAATCAAGTTCTCTATTTTGTTTCATTTTTTGATTCTTATTTTTATTATTTTTCTGTTAATTAAGGTTGTAATTTGCTGAAATAAAACAATAATTTGATGAAATTAGGCCTGTAATTTGTTGAATTTTTTTTATTTTTTTTGTCATATTTCTATTTTATTGGATAACCGATAACCGAATCGATCCAACCAATAA